GCGCGCCTGGGTGGGGGGCGGGCGTCGCCACGGGAGCTTCTGCTGGGCCGCAGGCTGCTGGCGACCGCGTCCCCCGGGAGACCGAGGGGGGCGGTGGCCCCGGTCCTCCCCTTGGGGCTTCCCTCTCGCTGGCGGCTCTGCGCTGGGGTGACAAGGACCAGGAAAGGCTGTCAAGCAGCCAGTAAAGTTGAAAGCTAGCGTCTTGCAGGGCTGTATCCGCGCTCGCTGGTTGCATCTAGGTCGGGACTTACGAAGATTGGACTTCGGTCACCACCCACCGTGGCTCAGAAGCGGGAAAGGTTCAGTACTGGGGTCTGGCCGGGACCCTCGCTCCCTGACCCGGGGTCCGGCCTCTGCGCCGTGACAGGCCTCCCGCCCCTCTGCGTTCCTTCATTCTTACACGATCTGAGTTAGGTCTCAGCTTAGAAAGCTCCTGATAGCATTTCAGCGGAGTCGAGTGCTGTGAATAACAACGCTCAGCAGTTCCCCCTATACCGTCTTCAACTTCCGCAAATGAGAACTTACATTCAGAATTTAGATGCAACCCAGGAAAGTGTTTGTCCTGTTTAGAAAAAGAGAAATTGTACAGGATGTGAGTAACTCATCCTGCTGAGATTTTAATCTTGCAGAAGGTCTTGACTCTGTTCTTAAGATCCTAACCAAAGAGCAACTGGTAGTAGAGAAGGGTGGCCTGACTTGAAAGGAGAGACCAGGAAAAAAGAAAAAAAGAAAAAAAAAAAAAGGAAATAGCAAACATGACTCTTTCAACGATATTTTGTTTCTTCCTGTTCCAAGTGAAGAACATTTGCATCTTTAAGCTTTTTGAAAAAATTTATTTTTAATTGACACATAATCGTACTTATGGGGTACAGTGTGACATTTCAATACATGTACTTAAAAAAGTTCATGGAAAGATATTTTTTAGTTCTACTTTTTCCACAAACTTTTTGAAAAATTTTATACCCTCGTATAATAGGCAAGTTGGAGTAATTGACATATCCATCACCTGAGATATTTATCATTTCTTAGTGGTGAGAACATTCAAAATCATCTTTTTGCTAATTTGAAATATACAGGGGCCGGCCGGTGGCGCGCTGCTACAGTGCAGGGCTTTGGAAGTGCGGTGGCGCTCCCGCCGAGGGTTCGGATCCCACATACAGACCAGTTCCCGCTCACTGGCTGAGTGAGGTGCAGGGAGCAACGCCGAGGGTTGCGATCCCGTTGCCGGTCCTGGGCCGGTACGGGTGCGACACTGAGGGTTGCGATCCATTGCCGGTCATAAAAAAAAAAAAAAAAAAAAAAAAAAAAAAAAAAAAAGAAATATACAATATATTATTGTTAACTAGTCACCCCACTGTGTATTGGAGCATAGAACTTATTGTCCAATCTAACTATAACTTTGTACCCATTGACAAACCTCTCTCTGTAGTCCCTTCTCCCCTCTTCCTTCCAGCCTCTGGCAACCACAACTCTACTCTTTACTTCTATGAGATCAACTTTTTTGGATTCCACAAATGAATGAGATCATGCAGTCTTCATCTTTCTGTGCCTGGCTCATTTCACTTAACATAATGACCCTCAGTTCCATCCATGTTGCTGCAAATGACAGGACTTCATTCCTTTTTATACCCAAATAGTATTCCATGGTGTAAATATACTACATTTTCTTTATCCATTTCTCTGTTGATGGACACTTAGATTGATTCCATATCTTGGCTATTGCGAATAGTGCTGCAGTAAACACAAAAGTGCAGACATCTCTTTGACATACTGATTTCATTTCCTTTGGATGATTCCCAGTAGTGGAATTGCTGTATCATATGGGAATTCTATTTTTAACTTTTTTGAGAACCTCCATACTGGTTTTCATAGTGGATGTACTAATTTACATTCTCACCAATAGTGTGTAAAATTCCTCTTTCTCCATGTCCTCACCAGCATTTGTTAATTTTTGTCTTTTAAATAATAGCCATTCTAACTGGGGTGAGATGATACCTCATTGTGATTTCGATTTGCCTTTCCCTGATGATTAGTGATGTTGAGTATTTTTTTCTGTTGATTTTGTATATCACTTTTTGAAAAATGTTGATTTAGATCTTTTGCCCAGTTTTTAATTGGATTATTTGGTGGGGTTTATTATTATTTTTTTCTATTGAGTTATTTGAGTTCTTTATATATTCTGATATTAACTGTCAGATGTGTGGTTTGCAAATACTCTCTCCCATTCTGTAGGTTGTTTCTTCACACTATTGATTGTTTCCTTTGCTGGGCAGAAGCTTTTTAGTTTGATACAATCCCATTTGTTTACTTTTGCTTTTGTTGCTTGTGCTTTTGAGGACTTATTGAAAAAATCCTTACCCAGACCAGTGTCACAAAGCATTTCCCCTATGTTTTCTTCTAGTAGTTGCATAGTTTTAGGTCTAACATTAAAGGGTTTGATTTGATTTTTCTGTATGGTGAGAGTTAGAGGTCTAGTTTCAGTCTTCTGCATGTGGCCATCAATTTTCAACACCATTTATTAAAGAGACTATCCTTTCCATAGTGTGTGTTCTTGGCAACTTTGTTGAAGATCAGTTGGCTATAGGTGCATGGATTTATTTCTGGGTTTTCTGTTCAGTTCCATTAGTCTGTATGTCTGTTTTTATGCCAGTACCACACTGTTTTGTTTACCATTGCTTTGTAGTACATTTTGATATAGTGTGATGCCTCTTCTTCTTTTTGCTCAAGATTATGCTGGAAATTCAGGCTTTTTTGTGATTCCATATGAATTTTAGGAGTGTTTTTTTCTATTTCTGTGAAGAATGTCACTGGTATTTTGATATGTATTGCATTAAGTCTGTACATTCTTTGGGTGGCATGAACATTTTAACAATATTGATTCTTCCTGTACACAAACATGGGATATCTTTCCATTTGTTTGTGTCTTTTGTTTCTTTTCATCGATGTTTTATAGTTTTCATTGTAGAGATCTATCACTTCTTTGGTTACATTTATTCTTAGCTATTTTTTTTTTTGTAGCTATTGTAAAAGGAATTTATTTCTTTTTCAGATAATTTGCTATTGGCATATAAAAATGCTACAGATTTTTATGTGTTGATTTTGTGTCCTGCAACTTTACCAAATTCACTGATTAGTTCTAATAGTTTTTTTTTTTCCTTTGGTGGAGTCTTTGGGGTTTTCTGTATATAAATCATGTCATCTGCAAACAGGGATAATGTAACTTCCTCGTTTGCAATTTTGATGTCCTTTATTCTTTCTCTTGCCTGATTACTCTGGCTAAGACTT